CCCAAAGAGGCTAGAGTGAAAGAGAGAGGGAGAGTTGGAGCGAGAGAGAGGGCGAGTTGGAGCGAGAGAGAGGGAGAGGAAGAGGGAGAAGGAGAGGGAGGGCAGAACTCTTATACTAGATGAGTGAAATAGCGAACTGACTTTTGCACCGAAAATCCGAGTATTCACGTTTATGTAAACATTTACACACTATATAAACGACGACGTCAATGAGACCGCCCCACCCTCCCAGACACCCCACCCAAATAAACCCGAGCACCTCCATCCCCACCCCCCAACCACCCAACAGGCGATATCCAAAAAATTTAACGCGAATTATATAATTGAAGAGCAGCACCTTCAGAAATCGTGCTCATTTGCGTACGTACTGCGAATTCGGCAATTGAAGCTCATTAAGTAGCCGAAAATGGAACTAAATCACCCCACCCCCAGCGCCTTAATTGGTGCTTGATCGTTTCAATAACATCCGCCCAGCCACCCACATTCACAGCCCCACTCGCACTCACAATTGGGGGCCCAAGACCGTATCCGAATCCGTATCCAAACCGAATCCGTATCCCAAAGCCACAGCCAAACTCCATACTGTGCGTCAATGGCACACCGCAAAAAAGAAATGTTCATCAATTGGGTTTGTTAATGGCCAGCCATAAAATGCATCAAAACTTGTATAAATAGATATCTATCAGAGAAAAGCAATTATTAAATGGAATTGGGCGTGATCAATTACTGAAGCTGGTGTCTACATTTAAATGGACGGATTTCATGTGAAGAGCATTCTGTTCTTCTTTGAAATAATGCAAAATTTGTTGGCAACATTCTAGCCATTTATAAAAATATTCATTTGCGCATTAATTTCAGTTTATGTCTTGTTTGATCTTTTATGGCATATACGCGTTTTACATTTTACTTGAGGTATTTAGCAACCATTTAAAAAGCCAGCGCAATATTTTCCAGTGTCCCAATAGAAGAAGAGTAGCAAAGACGCACACTCAGAGAAATTGAAGGCGAAATTGAGAGCGAGGAGGTGGTAAAGAGCGAGAAGGCGGTGGACAATAAATTGTTTACTTTATTAATTTTAAGCTTTTGGAAAAGTAAAAAAAAATGATGGAATACTGAGAGAAATTGTTATGTGAATGGCGGGCATTACGCGCGTAGTGTCCATTTTTGAGAGTGGGTGGTGCTGTTAATTAAGGGGGGTGGCCTTGAGGGGGGTGCTGGCCAAGTGGGGGTGGCATTACGTACCCCCATACCAAGTACATACATACATACGTACACATGTCTATCCACACGATCCAATGTATCTATATGCATAGTACACAGCGCGATATATCGAGTCGTTATCGGCGACGTCGGCTTCTGCGTTTTGGCTGCTTTTCGCTGTTGGTGTTGACGGCATCGAAGATTGTACGATTGTTTTTATTAGATAACGCGCGAATTTGTATTTAAGGACGGATCGCAGTCCGAAACCAGGCCCAGCTAGATGGAAATGTAATGCAAATATGTATATATTCGAAGATAAGGATGGAATGGAATATCACAGATCCATTATATACGTGTATTATTACGAAGAGTTGAAAGGATCCTGTGTTCTTATATAAAGGCAGGCAGCTTATTGAATAATGAACCACGTAGGTCTTTATAAATAACTATTTATATACACGCAGCAAATAGCATGGACTTAAGAAATATCGCACATACGTCATGTATGCCCAAGCTATAAATAAAAAACAGAGTTAGGAAAAGAACGGATGAAAAAGAGTAAGAAAAATCTGAATCTTAAGCATTGTTGGCATTGCATTTACTTCTGAAGCCCTTGCTAAACTTCAGTTTTACTCGGATTCTTCAAGTGAGTAGTCAAACATGACTGAGCTCTTAGTTGTCAAATACTGCGAGCCCTTAATATAGCCCTGTTTTGCAACCACAGAGATGAGATAAGTTCTCCGTTGCCTATGAGATACATCTATCTGATGAGCAGAAACTAGAGTAGATATCAGTGATTAACACCCTGGGCGAAATGAACCGAAAAGTGTGCAGTAACTTTATTAGAGCTGTGAATATTCTGGAATTGCTGATAAGTTCGAAACCCTTGTCCCACTTACGAGCACTTAGTATTCAAGCCCTTGCAATTGCAACCCTTGACTTCAATCAGAATTAGATAAGCCAAATGCATAGTAGGCGATCGCTGTGCTCTGCGTAGTACGTTGAGCGGAGAGATCTATGGTTGATATGGGAGTACCAAAGTTCTCTGGAACTGCTCTTATTGAACTGTTGATGTTGCTGCTGTTGCGTTGCTCGAGTTGCTCGAGTTGCTCGAGTTGCTCATGTTGCTGTTGCTGCTTCGTTATCGCCTCGCGGCGACGGCGTCAACATTTGCAAATGACGTCAAATGTTATAAAGAAATTTCAGCTCGCATATATGTACAGACCTATGCATGTATATACATGCATATGGCAGGAGATATATGTACGTATGTATGTGCCATACAAATGTGTGTGTACCCAAGCATTGTTGCTGTTGTGCACTGGCGTAACTGGATAGCCGCGTCGCTGGCATTTCCATTATTATCATAATGTGCTGTTCGATTTGGGTTTCGGATTGGATTGGATTGCCTTGCCCGACTCTGGGCGGTTTCGCTTGTGGTTGCCGCTCGGTGGTGTCGCTGGTGTCGCTGGTGTCGCTATTCGCTGGTGTTGCCCATGCAGCCGGTGACCATTGGCCAGCTTACCCCCCTTTTTGCCAGCTTCTAGCTTCGGATGCCGCAGATGGAGCTGCCAAGATGCCAACACGCTCCGACAATGCCTACTTAGTTTCGTCTATCTTTGCTTTTTGCGGCCGCGTTACATGGCACATACATATGTCTGTAGCAAATTTAATCAATTTTGATTGATGTGTGCGCATTACAGCAGCAGCAGCAGCAGCAGCAGCAACTGCAGCAAACACATCTATATAAGCCCAAAAGCAGTGAAATCCAAAGACTTAGCTGCAACGCGGCGAAGATTCCCTGACCAAGAAGGGATTTAACTTACTCCAAGGCGTCTCACCATTAATAGGGATTAGTACATCCTTGATAGGGTTTACTATACAGTCAAGCAGATTGCTCTAAATGCTCCTGAAGACTGTGCTCGGTGCTTGCCTTGATGGAAGGGTATCTGGGCGGCTTGGCTACCCAGATAGCCATACGAATCGGCCAACCGCTCGTTATGATCGGGGTGGCCAGTGGTCGGTGGAAAAGGGAGGGGAAATATGATGTGGTTTTTAGGCGCGAACGGGTTCGCAAAGTGCGCAGAAATCGCAGTGCGGCGACTGCTCAGCTCTCCAACTCTCTATCTCGGCGGCGACTCGATCCGTGTATCTCAATGTCCGAATTTTCGTTACCCAATTGCAGAAGTACGAGTACGTAGTTGCATTCGCTACCAGGTGCCACTGATGCACTTAACCGAGTGCCGTGGGCCAGAATCCATGTAAGATGTCCGTGTGCGCCCTCAGCCAGCCACAGCCACAGCCGCAGAATTCGCCAAATCAGAATCAGAAGCAGAAGAACGGGCCAGCGAGGTTACCGGCCTTGGCAACCGGAAACGGAAGTGGATTAGCCAGTGGAATCGGAATCGAAATCGGAGGTGGTATAACCCTGAACGGCAAGGCCAAGGGCGCCGTAACGCCACCCACACCGCCGCCCTCGCCGCAGGTACGGATCTACGAGGACTTCGACAGGATGAGCGCCAAGGAGGTGTACTACAATGAGGCGGGCAAGAAGGTGACCGTGAAACTGCTGCACTTCCCCGACGTTCCGCCCGAGGAGATAGCCAAATTGAAATTCGACGATGATGACGATGAGGAGGAGGATGGAAATGGAGACGGCAACGGAAATGGCGACGATGATGATGGCGAGGACAAGGGCGAGGAGGCCGATGAGGACAGCGATTCCGGACGTAGACCCAAATCGGCGGACAGCGAGGATGCGGGCCAAAAGTCAGAGGCAAGTGGCGGAGCCACCAATGCCGCCCCCATGCCCAGTTCCTCCAAGAAGATCTTTCGCCGCAAACTCTCCGGCAACAATATGCAGCCACGGAAATGCAGCTTGGCCTTCGCCCAGGCCCACGGGATCCGCCAGCGGGCGGAGAAGAAGCTATCGATGCCGACCATTAGCATTACGGCCAATTCGGGTGAGCATGTGGCCCACAATTGTGGCCTGCGTTTAAACTTGGGCCGAAAGCTGTCGCAGCAGCATTCGCTGCCCCTCGGCTCACCCACCTCGCCCACATCGCCAATGAATCCGGGACCACGGCGATCGCATTCACCACTGGGCCAAAGCCTCTGTCCCGGCTACATCCAGTACTCCAAGTCGCTGCTGGAGGTGCCCATGCCCCGGGACTATGGGTACGCCAGCAGCGATGATCTCAGCTCCGAGTGGGACTCGGATGTGTCCACATCAGCGGCCGGCTCGGCAGCAGGATCAGGTGCCTCATCTCAGGCCACGACCAGCAAGAAGGTAGGATGGCTAGCCCGATGAAGATAGATGCGGTCTCAGGACCTACTAAATTCGAAATTCTTTGAAAGGGCTTGTCTTCATTACATTTCGTGTTACACTATGTTATTATAATTAGACTTAAACTACTCAAAGTATTTACTACAAGCGAATTTGGGAGAACAAAAAGCACTTTGTATATCCACGTGATTTTTCGACTCATCACCTTAAACGTGTATTCACATGTGATCAAGTGATAACAACTCAGCTGAAAAATCAGGGCATAAAAATGGGTCATTAGCCAGCTGTCTCATGTAAGCTGTTTCATTTCCAGTAAACAAACAACAATTAATTAGTGAATGCATTATTAGCAAAATGTACCGACAGACTGTAACTTTATTAAGAGCTATTTACTAATTTATTTAACGTATTATTCTCGCAGACTTTGCATGCTTATTATAAGACAGAGACCCCATCTAAAGCTCATCTTTTTGGCTTACTCTTGACTAATTGATTTGCCAACCGATACTTGCAGAGCTCCGGCTGGCGGAAGATCCGCAACATCGTCCAGTGGACGCCCTTCTTCCAGACGTACAAGAAGCAGCGCTATCCATGGGTCCAACTGGCCGGACACCAGGGCAACTTCAAGGCCGGTCCCGAGCCGGGCACCGTGCTCAAGAAGCTCTGCCCCAAGGAGGAGGAGTGCTTCCAGATCCTCATGCACGATCTGCTGAGGCCCTATGTGCCCGTTTACAAGGGCCAGGTGACCAGCGAGGATGGCGAACGTGAGTCTGCAGTTGTAGTTATCCGCGGGAATTGTATTTTCTAACTATTTTGTGCTGTGCTGTGGCACAACATCTATCACAGTCTACCTGCAGCTGCAGGATCTGCTCAGTGACTATGTGCAGCCGTGCGTCATGGACTGCAAGGTGGGTGTGCGCACCTATCTGGAGGAGGAGCTGTCCAAGGCCAAGGAGAAGCCCAAGTTGCGCAAGGACATGTACGACAAGATGATCCAGATCGACAGCCACGCCCCCACCGCCGAGGAGCACGCGGCCAAGGCGGTGACCAAGCCACGTTATATGGTCTGGCGGGAGACCATCTCCAGCACGGCCACGCTGGGATTCCGCATCGAGGTAGGCTTGAATTTCAATTGAAGCTATTTATGCCCGTCACTCGTAGAGTAAAAGGGTATACAAGATTCGATGAAAAGTATGTAGCAGGCAGAAGGAAGCGTTTTCGACCATATAAAGTATAAATATTCTTGATCAGGATCAATAGCCGAGTCGAACTGGCCATGGCCGTTTGTATTATTTGTATTATTTTTTCCCCAATTTCTACCGATATTCCAAAAATTGTTGAAATTTCTCGTTTGCACTCCCACTAGCTGAGTAACAGGTATCTGATAGTCGGGGAACTCAGCTGTAGCATTCTATTTTGTTTTAATACATTTTTATAGCCATCCCAAAATCGAAACCATTCATTTGCATATGCGTGAAAAGCGTGCTCAGAACGCAAACTGCAGGCTATACTTGTATATCCTTAGCAAATGTCGTCATCACTTTATTTTAATTGACTTATTCAGTTTTACCATTTGACTCTAGTGACGACGGAAAACATGCATTATTCATGTTTCAAAAACGGTAATGGAAAGTCATTAATTAAATCGTCTAAACATCGTTTGCAGGGCATCAAGAAGAGCGATGGCACCAGTTCCAAAGATTTCAAAACGACGAAGTCACGCGAACAAATCAAGTTGGCCTTTCTCGAGTTCCTCAGCGGTCACCCACATATATTGGTGGGTATTCAAATTAGCAAAAACATGCCCAGTTGAATGGCATTAACTTTGGGGATTCCCTGCGCTTTTTTGTATTTTTTTTATCGTATAAACAGCCCCGCTACATACAGCGTTTGCGAGCCATAAGGGCCACCCTGGCGGTATCGGAATTCTTCCAGACCCACGAGGTCATCGGCAGCTCCCTGCTCTTCGTCCACGACCAGACCCACGCCAGCATATGGCTCATTGACTTCGCCAAGACGGTGGAGCTGCCGCCGCAGCTGCAGATCGATCACTACTCCGCCTGGAAGGTGGGCAACCACGAGGACGGCTATCTCATCGGTATCAACAACCTCATTGATATCTTTGTGGAGCTTCAGGCATCCATGGAGGCGCAGGCGAACGCGAAGGCGGAGACGGAGGCGGAGGCGATTCAGTCACCCGTTTCTGTCGGAGATCGAGCAGAGGAGACGGAAGAAAGCAAACCCTGATGGGAAATCTTTACATTTCTACACGGGGGTTTTGGGGCTGGGCCCCGAAGACAAAGACATTTTCAATTTCCGAATCGATTAATCCCCAATTCCTAGGCTAAGTTATCTAATTTTTTTTTTGTGTTTTTTTTTCTAACAGTTTGCGTACATTTAACCCCTTAAGTTTAAAATCAAAGACTGAAATCACAATATGCATACAGATATTTTTACTATATACGATATACGCCTACATATATAGGAGATATATAGCCCGGCCTATATGTGCTGCTGCAGTAGTGTAATTTATTTATCCAAAAAAAAAAAAATCACGTTTGGCGAATCCTAGCGAGACCCGAATAGCTGGACATAACCCCCACAAGGCAGTTGAAACTGTCGATCGAAAAGTAACTAAGAAAAGAACACCAACACGCAACAAGAACTTAGACTAAGTTTTTAATATAATGGTTATGCGACTACCTACTAAATACTACTAATTGTGCACTATTAAATTCAGTTAAACCAGAAAAACGAAGATATTTGTTTAAATTAATTTGTGGGGCGAGCGAAAACAATGGTTTAGCAAAATACATATATAATAGCACTTGCGGCCAAATGGAATAAAATGGAATAATAGCTATTATACTTTTGAATAACATTGAAAGAACTGTCAAAGAAATATACATATTCTGGGTCAATTCTATTACTGCACTTACGTGATAGAAGAACTAATTCTATGGACAAAAAATGCAAATGCAAATGAGGAGCAAGTGTAGCCGTTCAGCTGCTGCGCTCCACGTTTATATGTCACCGAATTATACCAGAAGTACTACTTATTATATATTATTCACTTCATTGGCACAAATTTTTGTTATTTTAACTAAGTGTTTGAAAGCAGAGCATCACAAGTTATTAGGTAATTTTTGACATACCTTGAATATAAAACGTACGCCGTTTCCCTTAAAATGTAGAATACATTGTTGAAGAGCGCGCCAATTGTCGGTAGATGGCGCCTTAAGCACTCGCAAGCAATATCGATACGCAAGCAATACCGATTAATCGGCGTTGCCTAACGCAAGCGGCATCCATGTTGCGGCAGCCCTGGTCTACCAGCGTACCACTAAAGTTCAATCCATTCGCGAATTTCAACTCGTGCCGAAAGGTTTGTGCGAAAGCTGCAGCTGCGAGAGAAAGAGGAAGCCCACGCGGAAGTCGAGCAATTACCGAGAATTACTAAGAGAAAAAAAAAACAACTGTTAATGTGAGTGTTCTTGGGGCGACGAACAGGTCGCTGATTCTGGGCAAAATTGGGGAGAAGCTGCGGAGCGTATGATTTGAAATTAGAATCGCTGTTGTTGCCACCGCCGCTGTGCGTTTTTGTTGTTTTTCGATGAGCAAAAGATAATGATGTTCAGTCGGTAGATTCGAGATTATTTCACAAGTTTTTGCACCGAGAGCATAGTACTCTTTTTTTGGCCACATTTTGTTCTTTTTCACTTTATTGGCACGTCCGTCGCACACATTTAAGCACACACACACAAACACATGAATAGCCGGCGAAAAAAAGGGGCAAAGAAATGAAATCAAAACGAGAGGAAAATATTTGCCAATTCAGAAATAAATTTGTGATTTGTAATTAATTCGCATCCATTACATGAAAACTGCGAACGTGCCGAAAGTTCAATAAATTCAATCGCCCAAATGGGAGCAGCCGAAAAATTTGGCTAATTTATTATTCCGGGTTTCTTCCATTTCACTTCGTTCGGCGGCCATTTTGTAGAGTTCAGCCTTTCTCCTCTCCTCTTTGATCTTTCCAGTTTGTGGCGAAACATCTGGAAGTCAAGGGTAATTGCCCTTAATCGTTAGTAATTACCGCATTAGAACTCCGATTTATAGAGAATTTCTGTTGTACAACCTAAAACCAATTGGCAATTCCATTGATTTACACAAATAATATACATATTACAACTTAACAAGTAGCCCTTAGAACATTTCGCTTACAACAAAAAAGATCTATTGCATGTAGAGTAGTAGTTTGGAGAGCTTTGTAGATATTTAATATTTTCATTAAATATGACGAATGGGGAATACATTATTAGTATTCTGTTCATTACATGTAATTGACAGATTTTACAAGCCTCCATAAATGAAATTTATAAACCAACTTTTATCTTGTAATAATCCAAAGTCGGATGATGAAATTTTGTATGGGTCTGAACGAATCTTGATAGATAAGATTAGGAGTATCGGTCGAAAGAGGAAGTATTCAGGCATAGATGTATTTTAAGGGGGGAGATATGAGGGATTTACAAGTCAAGTTCTCCAGAGAAGCTAAATAAGTGTCTCTAATTCGCAATCCATTAATTGAACAGATGCCCCAGCTACAGAAGCCCGCTCCCTCATTCTCCGGCACCGCCGTCGTCAACGGCGTGTTCAAGGACATCAAGCTGAGCGACTACAAGGGGAAGTACCTGGTGCTGTTCTTCTATCCACTTGACTTCACCTTCGTGTGCCCCACCGAGATTATCGCATTCTCGGAGAGCGCCGCCGAGTTCCGCAAGATCAATTGCGAGGTGATCGGTTGCTCCACGGACAGCCAGTTCACCCACTTGGCCTGGATCAACACGCCCAGGAAGCAGGGCGGTCTGGGCAGCATGGACATTCCCCTGCTGGCCGACAAGTCGATGAAGGTGGCCCGCGACTACGGAGTGCTCGATGAGGAGAGCGGCATCCCCTTCCGCGGCCTGTTCATCATCGATGACAAGCAGAACTTGCGCCAGATCACCGTCAACGATCTGCCCGTGGGTCGCAGTGTGGAGGAGACCCTGCGTCTCGTTCAGGCCTTCCAGTACACCGACAAGTACGGCGAGGTCTGCCCCGCCAACTGGAAGCCCGGCCAGAAGACCATGGTGGCCGATCCCACCAAGTCCAAGGAGTACTTCGAGACCACCTCCTAAAGAGGCTATCTGTTCGCTGGACGGGGCTGCTCCTGGCGAGTGGGAGCGTATTCGAATCGCAACTCCCCGTCCGAAAACAAACACATACATTATATATCCTACATATTAACCCTAGAGCGTAGAGAGAAGAAACTGTGAGGCAGCTTTCCCTGCATCAGCCAGCCACCCAAAAAAAAAAGAGAAGGAGAAACACCTGCAGACGCTAAGCGGAAAGTGATTATTTTATACTTTTTTTTTGTGCTTTGTAATCCACCACAATAAACGATTGTACGGAAGAGAAGTCGGAGCACGTGGGTCCTTATCAGGGGGTGGCGGGCGGACTTTCGCCTCAAACCTCTGGGCTTATCATCCGAAGAAACATTTCCACAAAAAGAAAAAACAAATAGAAGGAATCAGCAGTGGGCGACTTATCACCGTCTGCGACTGGCAAATTGCGAAATGGCAAATAGACTGAATCAGAATGCCAAGAATGCTCCGCTGAGCGAAAAGACGAGTGACGCTCTAGGAAAAGGAAAACATGTGCTTATTATAAGGGTCTGTAGATGATATCTTATAAATACGTGTTAATGCTTACTGGCATGAACTTATAGCTGTTCCACATAAACTGAAACACTTACATGGGTGGCCTTTTCTCGCAGTGCAGCAACAGCTGTTGGTGACACAGTAACCGAGTGCACCATTCCCGTTTTGTCATCAACCCACCCATTTCAATGTTAAGTGCAAGCGAGAGTCGTCTAGTCGACGTGGATGTCTCGCATATTAAACTAGTCTTGACTCTATCGGTTTATATATATTTATGTATATATATATACGGTCTCCCTGATTTGAACCCCCCTTAGTGATCGACGGTTCAACTATTACGTGTAGCTTGCGCGGCATCACACGAGGTGTCTTCGCCGGGTCGGATCTCTTTCACCAAAACCAGTTTCTCCAGGTCATACATATGCATAGGTATATGTATACTTTATCTGGCTACCTAGGCACATATGGCCGACCAGCTGCGAGGCACTTCATTTACTGCCTATGGAACCTACTGGAAACAGAAACAGAAACCGAAACAGAACCCTTTCCCAAAGTCAAGTGGTGCGATCTGATCGCTGCGCACGCTACTTCGTTAGTTGTTTGCCATTTTTTCTTACTGCCGCTGGATCGTCGGGGCATAGCCGACTTGATGGGCTCATAGTGGCCACATTGGGTGCGCGCCATTATCATTATCAGTCTGCTAATTGCGCCTGTTTGCCCACTGATACGATTACTCGAAATCACTTCACAAACATGGGTGGTCCACCAGTGGACCTTCCTATGCCCAGATCTTAGTACCTTTCGCTGTGAAAGTGTCGGATATGTGTACTTAGATGATATAAATGAAATGCATTCACATATCTTACACACTGGTACAACATGACGTATGAGCAATATTTTTGCGCTGGATTGAAAAAGCCATAGAAAAAGTAATATGTTGTTATTTTACTGTTGGGAGTGAATAAATTCCTCTCATCGACTGCCTATTTATGGCAGTTCCAGAAAGAGCAGCCCATCTTCGTGTTGCCAGAGTTGAACAATTGAAATTCGTTTTTACCTGAGCTTGTTTGCCGAGCTGTACAGAAAACGCTCTATTCATATTCATCAGCCGCACGACAGCTGCAAAAAGAGATTGCTTCTGCTGAATCATGGCAGCCAAAGGCAGACCAAAGCGGCACAAAAAGCTACACAGAGTCGTACAATAAACCCAGTCTGAGCCCGATTTCTATGCCAACGGTTTCAATATGCCTCTATTGAGGGCGTTGCAAATGTCATTGTCGTTGACTTTCAATGGCTGTGATTCCAATTGCAAGTCCCCCATTAGGAGTCCAGATCGCTGATTGCTGGGTGGCAGAAAAACGCACTTGCCATAATGAAGCTATACCCGAATGCTGCTGCAAATGGGAAATGGGTGGGAAATGCCTTTCATATTATCGATACCAATTCTCTCGCTATCCGGAAAGCAAGTACATGCACATACAGCTGCGGGAGAAACAATAGCACTAACTACAGTTCAATTACAATCAAATAATTAATTGCACTCTGCTATATAATTAACTAGCCTGTGTGCTTATGATTTTGAAGTAAACAAATATTTGAAATTAAGAAGAGGTGCAATTTTGGCTTAAGGTCAAGGAATTGGTTTTACAAATTATTTGTTTTTCTGATTTCCCGCCGAAAAATGTTTGGCCAAAATTTCCGAAATATTTGTTGAAATAATAAATATGAAATACATTTTCTTTGCCTTTTTTCCAAAATTTTGTTTTGTCCGACAAAAAGTGACAAGGGATCCTTAACTGTGGTGTTCAGCAACAGAAAGCAGTTGGTCATTTGCCTTTCGGCTTTATTTTGACTAAGTTAGAGCGCAATTGGTAAAAATGTTCAGTTTGCCCAAAAAAACATGAAATCTCTACTCTTTTTTTATGTATTTAGGAAGTGGACACTATTTTTGTGACAACAGCATTGAGTACTATGCCATAAACTGCTGTCTGTGGCGTAATTTGATTATTTTATAGACTGATAAGTTGTAATCGGGCGGCTCTTTCCGTGGTATTAGTGATATCAGTGGGAATGGGTCGTGCGGAATGCCATGCTCAATATGGCAAACTCCGCCATATTGGGCTAAGCTCGACCTCTTAATTACCTTTGCGATAAGGAAACGGGTAGAGGGGTGTTTGCCGACCTGGGAAATGGCCAAGTTGAACTAGGGAGTAGATAACGCCGGATATACTCATCAATTATATTTGTTCTAAGCTGCACGCAACACCGATATCGATCGGTGGTCAATATGAAATGTAATTGCACTTAATGGCATGCCAATTGTCTCAGGACAGGAGTCTCATTGGGGTCAGGAAACTGATCGGATAATTGAATTGCCAAATGCAATCAATTCGAATTTAACAGTCAACTGCAAAGTATGCAATGAATTCTTAATAAAATGTAGTGCTGGATAGGATTCCAATGTTTGTTGAGCCGGTGCTTTGCCGGTGTCTTGCAGCACTGAACTCGAGGGCTGCAACTTGCCGCAAATATTTAAAATGTTGATAATAAGTAATGTCAATATGATATGAAATCCAGTTACTTCTTAGGGATAACTATCGATATCAAATTGAAATTATCGAGTAAATACATTTTATAACAATTAAAATCAAGTTTTACTAAGCACTTGCTATAGCACAAAATAACGTTTAGTTTTTTCCATCAATAATTCCTTAAGAATTTTATAGATTACAAGCACGACAATTGTGCTAGGAAACTTTAAAAAACTGGTACAGGAGGTAAATGGATCAATACTATAAGCGAATTTTGAGCTATAGAATCAAATTTCAATTGCAACCAATTCTACCAAGCATTATTCGTTTTAAAACCAATTTATGAAAGTAGTAGTTATGGTTTCCATGGCGTAAAAGTTCTAATCAAGGTTAATAATAGAAAACTAGGATGGAATAACAGTATGATGGTGCTCTGACTGGCTCTAAAATTCCTTTATTTTCATTATGGAAAGCACGTAACTAAAGTTGTAGCACCTCGAAAGAAATCTCATGGCGCGCCCATGTATGAAGTTGTTAATTGCCTTGATTTCAGTCAGGAACCTGGCTACAATCGGCTATAAGGAACACGTTGGTCCAGGTTATATTATACACAGAGTGAGGTTTTATCTTAACAGATAGATTTACTGTCGCAATTTTTTTTTATCACTGCACCGCTTACATAGTATATAGATCGCAGACAAAATCGTTATTAAAATTATTATGTATGAATCATTTTATTTCGCGTTACTTTGTGCAGCATTTTCGCAATTAGCTTCTTCTACACAAAATACATTAGTTGGATGCATGGTCGGTGAAATAAAACGTCAATCTACATATCAAACTCCTCAGCAGCACACACAGACTCTTTTCGGTGTCAACTCGGTGTCTCTAGAAGAAGAAGCCGAGGATCTTGCCTCCCAAATGTTTTCTCCTGGCCTCCTCGTGGTCCATGATGCCGCCCGAGGTGGTGAGCACAACGTAGCCAAACTGACGGGAGGGCAGCAGATTGTTGGTCCACTTCTCGATGTCGTTGATGGGCACATCGAAGCGGGGCGAGATCACGCCGCACTTGTTCAGGCGACCAGTCAGGTTGACCACGATCTTGCCGGAACGGTGATCGTCAACGATCTCGAATTCGCCGATGTAGCCATGCTTCATCATCACGGTCAGGAACTTGATGATCACCTTGGAGCAGGGACGCAGCAGAACCTGGCGCTTGCCACGCTTCTCGGCGTTGTTGATGCACTTCAGGGCATCGGCCAATACGTTCATACGCACCATGGCTGCAAAATGTTTGGGGAACACAATTAGTCGAGAGTAAAATTATTCCGAAAAACTACTATATTAGTTGTACCTATAACTATTTGCTTGGCAAACAAAGCTCAAACCTTATTTGCAGAACAACTAACTTGTACGGCACATGGAGCTATACGAACTATTAGAACAGAAAAGTTGACAAAACTAAACATACTAACTTATGGAGCCTATGAAAGTGTGGCATATGACTTCTTGTTTAACACAAAATGGAAAAAAGAGGTTCTAGCCTCTGGTATATATGATACCACTCCAGCGTTATAAAGACCATAAAAACTATCAAATACTAGTGGCTACTTTTCTGATACTTCCAATTTTTTTTTTGGGCAGGAGGCGTGGCCCTTCCTCAAAATTTTACGCGGACAGACGAATTGTTTTTTAATGCCGATTATGATTTTATACAGATTATGGCTTTACTTTTTAACTCAGCGAGTAACGGGTTATTGGAAAAGAAGCAGAAACAGCAAGTAAAACACGTGCAAATACCACGAAAAAAAAATATACTGTCTGTGCTTCTGCGGTTGTGTGGGTGCGTGCAAGTGGCTGTAAACAACAACTATTTCTGGTAAGTTTGCCAACTGAAGTGTGTACAAATTAGTTTAATTTAGCCGGTTTTCGGTGCTGCATTTAATTCAATTGAATTCCCGACTTTTTGCCACACTTTTGAGCCACTCACACACACACACAAGCACAACAACACTGTGCAACACACTTGGGCCATTTGTTCACTTCATATTCTTTTACACATTAAAAAAATTATAACCAAAAAAAAATGTATATATATCCCGCATGTAGCGAGGCATTTTATGCATTGTTTACACGGTAAACTGCTCAATTTTGGCACTTTGGCCCACAGTAAAAAAAATTGGTACGAAAAAAAATTTGGGTAGATTTGCACATGTTTCGGCCGGCGATCGCCGCCAATCTAATCTGGCTGCATTTTCGCGTTAAAAACGGGTCCAATGGAAGCGGCATTTACCTGGGATTGGTTTGCAAACACTGTTTTACACGACCGCTGCAAATAGAGGAAAGAAAATTGGTTTAAGAACAATTTCGTTGAACAAAACAGCGGAGAACACGCACTCACGCAAACGTGAAAAGGGAAAAGAAAGGGAAACGGAAGGAAAAAGACACAGAACAGTGTGGCCGGCCGTGCTGAAAGTGGTTAAGCTGAAAGTGCCTATCGATAGTTAGCCGGGCGCAGGCCGCGGTTGGAGGCTTGGCTGAAACAGCAGTTGGCAGGATAAATAAACGCTTCTTTAATGTTATAAATTTGAAAAACGTTTTACTATTTTACGCATTTCAAAATATTTTGCCATATTTGAATACGTATTTTACATCTCTAGAGTTGCAATAACATGTTTTCAATGTTATATGATTTCAGCCATAGTTTTATGAATATTAAAAGAAATTTAAAAATGATTGATCAATCTAAACACAATTATTTTCAAGAACAAGTTTAAATATTTAAATTAGTCAATCATTAAAATAAACAGTTTAGTGATAATATCTAAGAAGTATTGAGTTGTCTAAATATCGATATATATTGTAACTGTTCTTACAGCCGGCACAGCGTTGCTATCAACAGTGTTGCAGCACAATTGCGGCATTTCGCTGGTCGCACCAGACGGCCACACTAATCTTTTATAAATAAACAAACATGTCCAAACAGTAAGTAATTTGTTATTGATAAGCAATTTGAGCCGTTTTTAAGGACTTTTTTTTAACACCACGCAGATATGGCCTTATTATACCCGGCCAGCAAAAGAAGGTACCTCCAAAACGCACTGAAAGGCCCTCGATTTTCGACGAGAGCAGCGAGTCCGAGAGCGATAATGACCAAAATGCTCCTCAATTGAAGTCGAAAACCAGCGGAGTGTCCTTGGGTCCGAGTCTAATGGAGCGCCGCGTGGCCCGCCGGCAGCAGGAAAAGGCTCTGGCCGAGGATCCAACCATATTCCTGTACGACGAGCTGTACGACGACATGGACAGCAAACGCGAGGAGGCCAAGCAGACGAAGAGTCAGGAGCCGCGGAAACCAAAGTACATTGGACGGCTGATGGAGCACGCCGAGCGCAGGAAGCTGGAGAAGGAGCTGCGCATCGAACGGCAGGTGCAGAAGGATCGCGAAGCCGAGGGCGAGATGTACAAGGACAAGGACACCTACGTGACTGCCGCCTACCGCAAGAAACTCGAGTCCATACGCCAGATGCAGGAGCAGGAGCAGCGGGATGAGTACCTCGAGGCCATTGGCGATGTCACCAAGCAGAAGGATCTGGACGGCTTCTATCGCCATCTCTACGAACAGAAGATGGGCGGTCCCGCTCAGCAGGATGTCATCAAACCAAAGACGGCGCCCACCACTGACGAGGTAGCGTACAAACCTATTAAGGCAGAGGCTGCCAAGCACAGAAGCTATCGACGACGTCGCTCCTCCGAGGAGGAAGAGGAGCAGACCAAGGGCAAGTCAGGCCAAGGCTCGGAGCCCACAAAGTCAACGGATCAGGCGGAAAGCAAGCCAGCCCAGGCACATTTGACCAACAACATAGATGCCGATTCCGATTTTAGCATAGACGACTCCAGTGATGAAGAAGAGGAGAAGGAAAATAAAAAGGAAAAGGAGAAGCCGGTCCATGGCAAAAAGGAGGATAAGAACAAGGCTCCGGAATGTTCTGAGCCCGCTAAAGTCAAAGAACCCGAGGCGTCGCAACAATCCCCCTCAAAAAAAGAAGATTCCAATGGCAAAGTGGACGAGAAGGATCTACCCGTGCCGACAGTCACCAAACCGCCTGTGGACCGCACACTCATCTGGCGCAAAAGAACCGTGGGCGAGGTCTTCGAGGCAGCCTTGGCTCGCTACCAGGAACGCAAGCGAGCGCGCCTGGGGTAAAATGCATCCAATTAAAGTTCGAGTAGATAGAAAAAAAACCAGTGATTTCTGTATTGTCTCCTTATTATGCTAATTTCAATTTGTCCCATGCTCATAAATTATTTATGTACACGCCAAGGCTCTTAGCAGACCCTTTTCGGTGCAAATATTTTGCATAAGTTGCAACAGAGTCCCCAGCCCGTTTGCACTTTTCATCTAAAACAGAGGAGAAAAAAATGGGTAAGAAGTACAAGGCATGACGGATGGAACCGCAGGAAAAGTTGGGGGAAAAGCACTGGAGGATGAGGAAGTGCCTGAAGGAGCAGAACGCGAAGATATTCCATTTATTTTGTATGACGACGACACGACGACAAGTAGTGGAGCCAAAAAAATAACTAGGTCTTGCTTAGAAGAACGAAACTGGAAATACCCTTAAAGGTTACACAGCTTCATGTTAATAGATTGTTAAAGTTTTTATATAATGTCTGTTAAAGATTACCCCGATGTCTCACAAATCATTGGGTACCCAATCGAATTGTGACAAAAGTGGATACAAATATAGATGCAGATACAGTTCAGCAGTAAGCTCTTCATCATATCAGGGCTTTAATGGCATATTGACCCAAACATACCTTGCTAAATCCTACAGTTCCAGTGCTACAATACAAATAAGACGATGCTGTGCAAAAATTCATCCCTATTGATTTTATAGTCCCGAACAAATCCGCGTTGAGGCAGACAGCTTATGCAGAAATGACTTTTTAGGTTCACAAATATCTCGTTCACTGAGCCGGAAACTCCTAATCCAAGTTCTAATACCCTCTGCAAGGGTATAAAAACGGAAAGGCACCGAGAAACTTGCCAAACGCCCAAATAACAAAGAGCCAACTTGGCGTTAGTTTATTTTTTCGCCATCCTTTTTGTTTTTGCAACATTGTTGTTGCTTCATTTTGCCGCAAATGCTGGGAAATCCTTTTGGAAAATAGGTGTGCCCGCGCCATAAAAGCGAAAACCAATGGACCAGGAGGGTGGTGGAGCAGCCGGAGCAAGGTCCTCGGCAAAGGAGAACGGAAAGCACCGAAAGCGCGGCGAGCACGGCTGACATGGTTAGGATCAGTGATGGACAGTGTCTAGGCGGTTCCCAGGTACTTTTGCCCAGTGTTTACGACCTTGTCTGGTTCTGAAAGAGTTTATAAACATTCAGGTTTTATAAACCATCCAGCTATCTGAGCTCAAGACTCATGCAAAGCCTTTAATTCCTTGCTATTTATGTGTCATTGAAAACGCGAATTCTTCAGTACGTCAGAGTGTATAATAGCACTGTGACTAACTTTAATCGGTTGCAGTTGGTAGTAATGTATCTTTAAATAATATAATTATTATTAAATATGAGAAGCCTTTGTAAACATTGTTCATGCGAGATAGCTGGCATTACCATACCTTGTAATGCCCCCATATCATCTATCCATTTTAATCTGTGTACCTTGTACCTTAGGCTGGATTAAAGAAATGCGGTACCCACCGTCATCAGCACTTTCGGCTTACCCACGTGAATTTTTCTTGTTGTTTTTCGTCCCTACCTTGTACTTTTGCCATCATTGAAGTTAGATTCCGGCTCCGGGGTCCGGCGCATTGCAGTGATGGCAAACCGCAGTTTTGCTCCGGTTCTTCATTTCTACATTCCGTCATCATCCCATTCCTCGGAATGCCAAATACCCGTGGACGGACGCCCCTGGATGCCCCGTGTATACCCGTACACCCGTATCCTCGGGATCCAACCCCCCGCCCCACCAAATGTAACACCCCCGGAAACCGCCAGCATCCTACAGCATCAGCATCTGCATCTGCATCTGCAGCCCGGACGGAATGTCAAGACGGATATGCCTCGCTTTTGATGTTGCCAACGTGCCTTCGCTCCACTTCGTCATCTTCCGTATCCATGTCCTCATCCTCATCCTCATCCTCAACCTCCTAGTCCTAGTCGTAGTTGTCCTCGTCGTCCTCGTCGTTGTCGTCGTCGTCGTCAGCGAAATTAATACCGAAATCCATTTTCCATTTGGCAGTCAGCGACCCTCACCTCCTCCCATCGCCATCCGCTTGCCTCTCTGTTGCGCTCGCTGGCGGCCGCATGGGTCCATCTCGCTCTTACCTGTTCGATTGTGTCATCAATCTCACATGTCCTTTGCTCCTTTGCTCGTTTTTGCTCCTTTCTGGCGTTTTTGTTTATTGATGTGCACTGCTGCAATTGAGATTTGTGCCACATTTTAGGCAAATTAATTCGATACGAACTGGAATGGAATTTTTTCTGATTGTCGTCGCAGATCGAAGAAGGGTGCGGCCTATGCCTCCATATATAGCTATCCCCCTCGGATTCACGTACCACCGATCGAATCGCATGGAATCGCATGAAATCGGTCGTTAGCTTAACGTTTCTAATTGAGTGCTCTCGATTTGAGTGCAAAAACACTGCATTTGCAAGTGCGTCGCCTTGCCTGCCTTAACCCTTTTGAGGTCTCGAGGGTTTTGAACAGGACGCCCCATTCGCTAAATGGATGTTTCTCGTTTCTTCTGCCGCGTGACGAAGGTTGCCATTGGCATCGGATCGAAATGCAAATGTAGACAGACTTGGAATTGGACGCGTTTGATGGCCGGAATGAAAAGCATAACGAAAATGTGAAGAAATATTCATCTTTTCGTATTATTCGTATTAATTTGCTCATGATACCCATGCAATTGATCATTGGTGACGAAAGACTTGAAATAAACAAATAAATTGCATACTGAATGTACTTTATAAATATGCTGCACGATCTAATTGATTTATATACGCCTTCATATACTTTTAGGTCTAGAAATTATTATCTGCATTATTTGTTCGATTTTCGACACCTTGTGCAATAATCACATCTTACTGAAAACCATTTGCAGACAGGAAGCTGCTGTCTCAAGTGGCGACTTCTTGTTTCGTTACCTATCGCCGTAAAAAATTTAAGTATTTGAGTTTGTTTGTGCTGAAGTTTCTAGTGGTCTCCATCTTCAACTCAATCTCAATCTGTGTCTCTCTATTTTCGCCAAGACTCTTGAGATCAATAAAAGTTGTTATCTGTTTTATGTGGGAAAGTGGCTGCAGAACTATGAGCGCAGTGGATATAAAAAGTTAAGCTATCCAAAAAGTTTTTAGGTGATTTGGCGCAGGAAGGGCTGCCTGTACTGTTTGTGGGTTAACCCGGCGGCAAAATCAGCAGCATACCCATCATCATCATCATCATTATCATCATCGTAACAACTACAGGCAGTGGAACAACAGGGATTATGTAACACTAATTCCATTAACCCCCTTTGTGCGGTCCACAACCCTTTTAACCCGCTTTGTATGCCTCTCGTTGCCTAATCAATTTACGATCATAATTACTTGGCTTTTGGTCTCGGTTTCGGGTTTCGGGTTTTGGGTTTGGCTTTGGCATTTTCCTTTGGCCCTTGCCAAAAAGCCAGCGATTCAATCTGGGCCTGCTGCAGCCAGCCAGGGCAGCCAGGGCAGCCAGGGCAGCCATGGCAGCCATGGCCATCCGGCCAGTGAAGCCAAACCCATTAATCCAGCATGCAGCCATACAACCCAAAACCGAAACCCGCTGCACAATTGGTGCTGGGAGCAAAGGAACGGAGCAGGCCAATAGGCGCAAGTAAAGGCTTCAAGATTGTGATCATTCACGTGTGAATTCAATTATCAAGCGTTTCAATGCCCTTGGTCCTGGACTTGGGCTCTGATGAGGACGAGCAGGACGACTCCGAAGGCGAAGCACGGAGAGGACCACGGACCACAGCCGACCCGGAGTGCGGTCACCACACCCTGGTGACCTGGCCGTTAGTCTTGCCCAGGATGCATTTGTTCAGGGGCGTGCCCAAAAAGGGGGTTGTAGGTTCATTGTGCCGGAAAGAGAGCCATAAGAGTCAGTGGAGTCAAGTGCATCGAACCCAAAATACCCAGTAAATCTGTTTGAAACTAACAATCGAAGATATTGTGGCTGCAACTAAAATATAATATTAATAGCACTGTATTTACAGGTGATATGGTAATATACTTTCCTCGAATGCGTAATACGTAGACATATTTAAATCAAATCGCATTTATCTGCTTCGAAAACGCTTTAAACTTTAAGGCGGGCTCACCTTTTCTGGCCCAGCCACACGGAGACCGAGTGACACCGAGTTGAAATCACTCATACGCCACGTACGCCGCCTGAAATCTAGCCTACGAGGGCCAAATGCTCTCAGGTAAAATGTGTGGCCAAAGACAACACTAATTAAGGATAATCAGCTTTTAAGCCATGTGTACGCATTAATTAAATACAAACATGTTGGGAAAGGGAAACAAGGAAACAAAAAAGATGTTTCATTGGGCATTATGTTCTTTTGGCTTGTACAATTTCGTGTTTAAAAATGTGCAGAGTGCCTATTTTTCTCTAAATGCAGTGTACCCTTTTAAACCCGAAAAAAGGAAAAAGAGTTTAAAAAAAATTAAGGTAGAGCACCTGTATTCTCCTTTTCTTGTTGTTTTTTAAACGATCCCAAATGAAAACTAAAGTTTATAGCTGCGGATTGAAAATAAAAACTAAATGTATTGCCTATAAAAGGGGGGAAAAACGTGCATAAAATTGTATATAAATGTATATATGGGGGCATGGATATGGCGATATCGCATTGCACATTTTATGCGGCCAGTCGATGGGGCAAAAAAAAATGAAAATGTTCATTGCGGCAGATTACGTAACAGGGCGTTTTGCTGTTTTTGACCGTCTCTCCTTTTTGTATATGTTTCAGTCACGTTTTGGTATAATTCTCCAAATATGTATATACATTTCGCCGGCTTATATTAAATCGATATTTCATCCTACTTCCTGGTCGGTCGGCGCCCCTCAAAACTCCACCACTGTCGCACTCGCAGACACGTTTGTGTGAGTGCTGGTGATTTATATTGTTTGGTCACATGTGTGTGTTTCACTATGGCCATCTGTATTGGTGCCGCATTGGTGTGTGTGGTCGAGTGTGCCGGTGTGTGTGA